TACGTACGACGTCGTACGTACTTACGTACCCACCACACACACACACACACACACACACACACACACACACACACACACACACACACACACACACACACACACACACACACACACTGATTGAGAAATTGTGCCCTGTGTGTTCAGATGAGGGGGTTGGTGTCCAGTCTGTCCGAGGACTCAGCAGTCCGTGTGGTTATCTTCAGGAGTTTAGTTCCAGGTGTTTTCTGTGCAGGTAAGTGTTTTTCCAGAGCACCTACAACCTGCCATGGTTCTTTATTTTTGATCCAAGCTTTTCCTAATGACGTCTGTACGTTACGATAGGGGCAGACCTGAAAGAGAGAGCTCGGATGAATGATGCTATGTCTGATAGCTTTGTTCACATGCTGCGAACCCTCATGACTCAGATAGGTAAGAAAGTGAGCAGTTGACTCCAATATCCATCCCCTGAGATTACACACGAGTCTATGCATCTGTTGACCCTCCTCTGTCCTCACAGCATCATTGCCCATGCCCACCATCGCAGCAATGGACGGCGCTGCCCTGGGAGGTGGGCTGGAGATGGCCTTGGCCTGTGACCTCCGCACTGCTTGTGAGTGACCTCTAAAACCAATTCTCCCTTATCAACTCTGAACTGAAAGAGTATGTGCATCATGCTTGAGTTTAGTTAATATTCCTCTCTCCTTCCTTCAGGTGATGTTAATTGTGTATGAAAGGGAATGGCATGTTGTCTCCACAGCTGTCACCAGAACAGTCATGTCCGATCAGTGATGGGTCTCAGCAGGATGGAGAAGGATAGCATTCTCTTCGGAACATTTTTCTAGATTGACAACTCCCTCATAACATCAGTGTAGATTACCGAACCAGTTCTCAACCAGCTCTACTGTTTAATTGTGAAATACTGGAGAATTGTACATCTTTAGGACTTGAATTCACATTTGAAATTAGATTTAAGTTCCTACAGTTCATATAAACGGTTAAAAGCAGATGCTTCCATCCCCTCCATTTTTGTATTTTTTTGTTATCTACATGCTACTTTTTATTGAGTCAGGTCTTAGTCTTAGTCTTTCCTTTTTTTGCCAGTTTTTTGCAATTTTAAACTCAGTTTTGAGGTGTTCATCTTTTCCTGAAAAAGGCCAGTGTTTATTTATGGATCGTGGAAACGCTCAACCTTAACAAGCAGATTTCCATACTGAAATTTGAGGATATGTGTATAAAATGATGAAGACATACAGAATGTTCCAGATTATCTTAAATCTACATCAGGGAAAATAAAAGGTTCAAACTCCACAGCGGTCAAGCAAAAACCAGTCTGTCATTGTTGCTTATCTCCGATTGTTAATGATTAGTTGAGTTGAGCCAAGGGATTAATGATACCCGTATCATTTGACATCTGCCCAGCTGTTCATGGAGCTGAACACATGTGATTGGTTGAATTAGTCGTAGCAGCTCTGTGATTGGCTGATCGCTGATGGGCTAAGCGAGCAGGTGTTTGCGTCTGTTGCTCTGACAGAGGCATCAGTCAGACTTTACGCCCTCCACAGCTTAATGGCACTCCGCAGCTCTGACCTTCAAACGTCCTCTGTGTGTGTGTTTGTGTTTCAGCACATTCGGCACAGATGGGTCTGATCGAGACGACGCGAGGGCTGCTCCCAGGGGCGGGTAAGACAAACATAGGTCACAAAAAAGACCTTACAAAGTGAGAAAGGAAAAGGCAAAGCAGCTTTGAGAATTTGACCTTGAGGTGTTTTGTCCTGCAGGGGGCAGTCAGCGGCTGCCAAGGACGGTCGGCATGACTCTGGCCAAAGAGCTCATCTACACAGGTGGGGTAACAGAAACGCTGACATGTTGCTGTACACCAGAGGATGCTCATCTGTCAGTGAGGGCTTTGTTTATCTCACACTCTCTCTGTCTGTCTCTCTGTTGTCAGGTAAGCGTGTGGGGGGGCAGAAGGCTCTGGAGATGGGGCTGGTGAACAGATCTGTGGAACAGAACGAGACGGGAGATGCTGCCCTCAGAGAGGCTCTCAGCCTGGCCAGAGAGATACTGCCCCAGGTCAGAGAACAACACACTTTCTCACTCTGCTACTGATGCATCCCCTCCCTTCAGGGTCTATTCTCCTCTCATAGCTGGAGACCTAATTGTTTCTTGTTCACATTTTTGACTGGGCCTGATTATACAATAAGAAATAACAATTTTATCGGAAATGCTGTAACTATATGGAGGTCCACTCTTGCCAAGTTGATAAATAAATCCATTAATTTGTATGCAAAATTATCAAATAATTAGTTTCTAATTCAGTTTTCAATCAGGGATACATTGATGTCCATTCTAGCCCAAGTAAATAAAGAAATACATAAAAAATTAAGAAATTGTATGCAAGATGATCATTTTGTTCAAAAGTCAGTTTTCAATCAGGGATGTGACTAAACATTTTCTCAGTAATTTGATATATCATAAAAAAGTGAACAATGCCAGTCAATCACACACATTACTCAACATCAAAATTAGTTTCGTTTGTTGTTTAGTTTTAGTTGAGAAATGACATTTCTCACTGTGCTACTGATGCATCCCTCCTCCTTCAGACAGGGACCTGCTCTCTTACTTCTTCCTCTCTTTCCCACCACCAATCTCTTCTTCATATTTTCATTCTGTCTTCCCTCTTCCTTGTGTATTCGTCCATCCTCTGTTCCCTCTTTCTCTAGGCCTCTGTCACTCCATATCTCTTTCACTCCAGTTCAGATGCCCGCAGATGGCAGGGCATGAGTGGCACTCAAGAGTAGAAATAGAAACACACACACACACACACACACACACACACACACACACACACACACACACACACACACACACACACACACACACACACACACACACACACTTGCATTGAATGAAAGTGAGGTAGCACAGAGAACATAATGAGCCCAAGGCCTTTTCTCTTAGTGTTCATGTGGCTTCCTGAGGGAAAAAAAACCCATTATCTTTATAAATCAAGGGAAAAAGCTTCTCCAGTCTTTAAATGTCCTTACAGTTTAAAAAGAGTGCTTTTTAAATGGCTACCCCACAGGTTCTGTTTTTAACTTGAATAAAGTTGGCGTATTTTAGACAGATAAAAAATAAGATCTTGAGTTTTAGTGCCTTGTATGAGCCAATCTCCCCAAAACTGAATCCTACATTTTCCAAAATGTCCCTGTCATTTTATTTCATCATAAATACTGACTCCTCAATTTGTAATTAAAGCTTTATGGTATACAAATGTGTATGAATTCTACATTTTCTTTTACTGCAGACTCTGCATAATTAAACGTTAATGGTGACAGGTAAACAGTATGGTGCTTTATTGACACCAATTCACTGTGTTCTGTTTCTCAGGCTCCTATTGCTGTGCGGCTGGCAAAGGAGGCAATGGACAGAGGCATTGAGGTATATCATGATTCATTCCTTTTTATAGTTTTTCTGCATCAGTGATGGTACTGAACTGAGTCTTTCTTTCCCAGGTTGACATCACTTCAGCGATGAAGATAGAGAAGATGTGTTATGCTCTGGTAAGTCTTCAAGTTTTTATTTCATTACAAAAAAACACTTACTTCAGATGCGGCTGACCCCAGTGATTTGTTACCGATTAATCATCAGTATAAGCAGTACATATTGTCAAGTTCTGATTGGGTTTGGTTGATTGACTCCTGCCTAAACTTGAAAAAAGGCCTGGTTCACTCCAAAGGACACACGGGACAACTCAGTCTTGACTCTTTCCTTTTTATTTGAGATACTGTAGAGTTCTTTTAGCTCCATGCAGCTTCATTTAGCTTCCATGTTGCTCATTCAGACGTTTTAGATTAATACTTTGTAAGACTAACTAGAAATAATAATTAAATTCAATGTTTTCCATCACAAATATCTTCAAACCAGATACATATATTTATACATATTACCAGCAATGTATTTGGGTGAATCCTTCTCAACCCTCTCCTCTCTGCCACTCACAGTGAATTGTTTCTGTCTTTTGTCCTCTGCATCTCCAGGTGCTTTGCATCAGGCTCATTATATACGTGACTCTTTGCTCTCCTTTGAGCCACATCTCTAGTGGAACCACAGATTTTAGGCTCCCTGTGACCGCCTGCTGGACTGGAGCCAGATTTAGAATTTGCCCTTCACTGGTGCCATTCACTGTTTTTAATCTGATATCATTATCCTTATTTTAATATTGACTTTCGTCTCGACACATATTATACTAGTTGGGTTCAGCTTTGATGCTCACTCTCAGGCATTTGGGAAAGCCTCTGAGGCTGCAACGAATGATTATTTATATTATCAATTAAACCGCAGAGTATTTTCTAGATGAATGGAATTATCATTTGGTCTATAAAATGACAGAAAATAGTGTACAAATAGTAATATCCCAGTTTGTTACAAGGTGATGCATTGAAATGTCTTGTTTTGTCAGTCCAAAACCTAAAAACATTCAATTTAATGTTTATATAAAATAGGAAATCAGGAAATCTCCATGTTTGAGAAGCATTTCTGCGAGAAACGAAAATTGGACAATTAAACAATTATCAGAATATTAACCGTTTTTTTTTCTGTCAGATTATCTCCACGCCATTGTCCTGGTGTAACGATCACTCTCTGTTTTCAGGTCATTCCCACCAAGGACAGAAGAGAGGGAATGGATGCCTTCATTGAAAAGAGACCCCCGCGGTACACTGGGCAATAAACCTTTTGGAAATGTCTCCCTCCGTCACTCAGCGCTCCTCCATAACCTCATGTCTGATAGACAATTAACACCCATTGATTTTTTCTGTGTGCATCCCAGACAGTATCAATACATTAGATAAGGTCAACATTAGCGGCAAGTGTTTGATTTTGTGACTCATGATGAGAGCGACATAGGGATATTTTGATCAGAGAAAAAGTAATTTATACTGTTTATTCACCCATATATCCATATTTGTTTGTCACATTTTTTTGAAATAAAGAAACACAAATGTCATCTCTAGTTTATGGGAATGTACATTCTTTATTTCCAAACTTGAAAACGAGACTCTCAGCAGCAACATGGCACAGTCACAGCAGACATACCGCATCGAGACTTTTTGTATCTCCGCATTAAACTCTTATGAAAAATGAAACTGGACTTCATTCAATGTGATGTTCAGAGGCAACAATCAAACACATCCGGAGCAACAGACAACAAACCAATTATCATCTGCTGCTCTTTGTCCTTGATGAAGCTGTGAGATCAGCTCAGGACACACCATATTTAGCAAGCTCTCACAACAACATCAACTGATTTACAGAAACAATAAGACCATTTCTCAGTAAGCAGATGAGGTGATGTTTGTTTTGCTGATAGATGTATTAGAGTACCATTAGCAGCCCAATATATTGTCTTTATTACCATTAACATTAATTATTTATATAAATCTTGTAACCCATCTCCATTGTTCCTGATGAAGCCAAAATTCACTCTGCCTCAAAAATGTTGTGTCAGCGGTTTGGCATAATTTTGAATAAGAAATAATTAGCAAACAGAAAAGGTCTGCAACTAATGAGATTTGCATTATTGATTTATCCGCCGTTTATTTCCAAGAATAATCAATCAATTGTTTAGACAATTTTCACTTTTTTTATAGACCAAAGTCTGAGGGAACTTAAGGCGTAGTGTTTGTCCTATTTAGTTTCCCCTTCTGGGTTTTTGTATAAAGTGTACGCGCGCCTGGGATATGCACAGTCTCCAAATGTAAAGTTATTGCAGTCCTTATCCCAAAGATAGTCAGTTTAAGAAGATATAACATGGAAAAACATTTCAACTTTTAAGTGATTGAAAAAAAAATTCTGCAAGTATGCAAATTAATCAAAATATTAATTTGTTGTCAAAATGGTTGCTGCTTATTTTTTTCTGTAAATCGCCACATCATTGCAGCCCAGATGGAAAATAAGGATGGGACATTAATGAGAACCAAGATCTTATCTAGACAGCAGAAGTGCTAAATTGGCATTCTGGAGGATACTTAAGTCATTTCAGAACAGAAAAACATTTCCGATAAGTCTCCCAGTTTTTTCCTTATTTGTTTTCTTTGTTCTTAAACATCATTTTCAGATAAACACAGTCCGGAACATTCAGTATAATAATTTCCATGCAACCAATTCAACCTCTCCTGAACAAACAATTACCATTTCTCTCATTTTCTATTATGTACAAATTAAATACACTCTTTAGGATGCAGCTAGTTGTACGGATGTACATACACACATGCTCACACTGAAGTGCTGTCTGTGTTTAACACGCAATGGAAAGCACAGCGAACATATCAATATATATATATATATATACAGGAGTTTCTCAAAAAAAGACAACGGCCATGACTGAATACACATCCATCATGAATATACTGACCACATCTTTATTGCCATTTGTTGTCAGAGAGGACCCTGGTTAGCAGACACAATGATGGTATACATTTAACTCTGGATCTTCTGATTCACAGCACGACTGGTTTGCAACTGGTATGTCTGATTTAGGAGCTGCCAAAATATTTACTGGAGCTTCAAGAGATACAACTTCTTTATAAGGTTAAGTTTTAAACTTTTGAACCCACTGAAAACACTCTAGGCAAGTGTCCTGTCACATTCAATAAAATGCATTAGCTGATAAAAGACTAAATAAAGAAGTGAGCAACAGCAGTACTCAGGACCTGTAGGCATTGGGTTTCAGTGAACGCAGCACTGCTATAAACAAACAAGCAGGCATTCCTAAAACGAACAGTAGCAGCATTCAGACAAACTCCAGCATGCTTGTGCTCACAGCAGCGCCATGCGTATATCTAATGAGCTAAAAAAGACCAAGTCAGACAACCAGAGCCTTCAGTAACGTACAGGAGCCGGAGGGTGTTGCCCTCAGCTGAGCTTTCAGGGGTTCAAACTCAAACTGAGATTTGTACATGAGCACTGAATGTCTTTTTGGCATTATATTCATCATGATCCACAATGAACAGCGAGCACAGACACAAACCTCAGGATGAGATTTTAAGCTTTACTGACCAATAGTTCTCATAGTTATCACTGTTAGTCACAAGATTAACACACACAGATTCTTTTGTTTTGAGACGAACACAGAAAATAAATAATGTTAGTGTGTGTGCAAATAATTGTCTAGCGTTTTGTCCTTTAATGTTTCCTTTCTCTGGGCTCGTGGTAAAGTGTGTTTGTGCTTGGGATATGCGCACAGGCATACACGATTCCTCTCATGGGACCCAGCTTATATCCAGAACTTGGTCAGGGAGCCTCACTTTCTGAAAGAGAAATTTAAAAGAATGAAAAACCGCCATCCATTGTATTACTGATCTGGCGAATGAACATTAGTGTGAGTGTTTACCTTTGTGAGGTTACTGTGGCGGCGGGCGGCGACTGGTGTGTGTGTGTACCGGCTGTCCGGTGCGCGCTCTGTGGCGCTGCAGGCTCTCCAGAATGCTCTTAGCCAGCAGCTGGACATCTTTGTGGGTCTGTGGGTGTGTGTTCACCAGCTCCAGCTGCTGCAGGCCGCCCTCCTCCAACAACATGCTGCAGTAGCGAGCGGCTGCAGACACACAGGGTGAAAACAACATTACATCCTTAAGCCATTGGGGGAGTAAGTTACTGCCTAAAGAGACGTCAGTGTTTTATTTGTGAATGTACTCATTTATGAGAACAATAGGTTCTGTATGTGTCTCACCGTTCTTGCTGCAGACATGCTGCATGGCCCAGGCCGCCCACAGCTGGACCCCGGGAGTGTGAAAGCACTCCAGGAGGGGAAAGAAGGGGTTAAATGACCTAAAGAAAGAGAGACAATAAGAATATATTTAGTATGTACTCTATATAGCATGTTTTAGGTTTAGGCTATAGATAGTTAAAGAAAAGTACGTTCAGACACAAATTAAAAAGTAGTAGGATGAAACCTTGTCTTTTGGCGCTACTTTAAAATAGATTTTTCAGCATTGTATGAAAATAAACTTGAATAGGCTTTAGCAAGTAATACATTCTTTGGTCATTTCAAGTTCTTTTTTTGCTTTATTATGACTGTTGAGAAGCTGCATCTCACCTGTAGGCCACCATCTCACAATCAGGCGCGGGCCACTTCATGATGACATTATGCTGGAGAGATACAAATGTAAACAGTCAAACAAACGGTTCAAGAATAACTGCAGTATTTATTAAGAATGTTTTGCAGATTCTCACCAGCTGCTCCAGCAGGGAGGATCGGAGCTCGGCACTGAGCGTCCAGGTTTCCTCTCCTCGAGACATCAGATGTGCGAGGATGCCCGCGGCGAAGTAGCTGACCTCCACCTCGGAGCTGTGCAGCAGCGTGCTGATGTGGTCCAGGAAGCTCTGCACCATCAGCTCCACGTGCAGCTCCCCCACCTCAGCTATGTTGTTCTACACAACAAATGGAGAAAAGGCGATAATGATGTTATAATATTGTAAATTAATGAAGTCTTCATCTTTTCTTAAGGCTAGTAGAGCAGTTCACTCACCAGCAGGCCGAGAACCTTCTGCTGAATAGAGGACTCGTTTGGGAAGGACTGCAGAGGGAGGGGGGGGGGGGGGGTAAAGAGCAAATCAACAGTGAGTCAATCCCCCTGAAGGCATATGTGCTGCTACATAACAACATGTGATTAATTAGCATGATCATTTGCTCTAAGTCTCTCTACTGCTTATTTACAAGTTGATATTTCTGTGTACCTCTAAAACTTTAATGAACAGGTCCAGGCCCTGGTTCTCAATAAAATGGCGGCAGGTCGTCGGCGATTCATCGGTGAGGTTCCACAGAGCGCTCAGTGTGAATTTGAGGGTGGCGTCCACCACGCCCTGAGTGGCCTTCTGACGCACGATGTGGAGCAGTTGCTGCGGGCAGGATGGGAGCATTATTAGCAATGAAATGTGAATGTTTTGGTAAATTAGCAACAGTGAAAGAGAACAGAGCCAAAATGAGAAACCTTACCTTCACTATGAACAGCTCTGCTCCCAGCTGAGCCGTCTGCTCTGTCGACAACTGGGAGAAGCAAACGTCCAGGAGTTTAATAATAACTTTTGTAATCAATTCATTAATTACAGTAGAAGTTGCACAACATTTACCTTGGCAGCGAGTATGGAAATGATAGCCACAGCCATCCTCTGCATGTTCTGGTCCTCATGGTTGCAGAGCCACTGCATCACTAGCTTGGCAGCTTCAAACCTTGCAAAGAAGAGGAAGACATATTATTAACACAAGATATGTTTTTTTATGACAAGTTTAAGACTTCACTTATTGCTTTAACCGACAGACATTTACTGTTTATCTAATAGATTTATTATTTATAGTACATGATATCTGTATGTTAAAATGAGATTCAAATATGAAATAAGAAAGGTATTTCTCACCTGTTGAATGGAACTTCCTGCAAAATGCGGTCACTGCACAGAGACAGCAGGCAATTCTTCTGGAGCTGATGTCAGAGAAACCAAAACAGATATCAGACCAAAACCTGAACAACAAGCAAAACTTTTACAATCAGCTGTTACCATATAATTATAGTAGTTTGTGCTCAACAGTGCATAAACATAAGTGACTTATAGGAATAGCAAATTCAGGAAAAATAATTTAGAAATCAAATCAATTGTAAAGGGGAAAACTGTTATTGACTAGTCGTACCTAAGCAGATACAATTGTATATAGATTTAGAACTCGATTGGTTTGTCCAACATTGATGGGAACTGGTGACATGTCACATAAACATATTTCATCGTGATCATTTCCTGTCCTTGTGAGCCGAATCTAGTTCACCAAACGAAATGCAGCAAAATGCGGTCATGTTTGTTTTGACAAACTGCGGCACCCATGAAGAATGCCAGAGGGACAGCAGTGCAGGCATGGAGCTACCTGTTGGTGGTTGGGGAACGTCCTCATGGCCTCCAGCAGAAGCTGAGTGACGGTGCTCAGCAGTCGCACTGGCATCCCTGCAGCCAGGTCCTGCTTCGTCAGGTTGAACACACAGGCACTGGCTGCCAGCTGGACGTTCAGAGTGGCAGGGTGGTTCTTCATCCCCAAAACCACCAGCTAGAGTAAAACAAGAGAATATTATGTTCAGTGATGAGGAAAATATGATGGGGTGTAGGGCTTAGACCTTAAACTCTCTAGGAGGAAATTTGAAACTCTTAGAGAAAAGGCAAGAGCTAGAATTACCGTAATTTTCGGACTATAAGCCGCGCCTTTTTCCTCATTTTTCCACGCTGCGGTTTATATAACGGTGTGGCTAATCTATGGATTTTTACAGCTAACGGCCACTAGGGGACCTCCTAAATCTATGGATTTTACAGGTTACAGTCCACCACCTTTAACTCTATGGGCTCTATGGCCGGTCCGCGCCCCCCACCTTTAAGCGGCGGGCTCCAGCAGGAAAAGCTGGAGGCCGGAAAAGAGTGAGACAGGTAGCGCGCAAAAGTAAAAGTGGAACCGAGAGTGGTACGAGAGACAGAACGAGAGCAAGACAGACAGACATTAAGAGCGAGACAGTTTGTCCCCGTACCACTGGTTGAAAACCACTGCTGAAGATCACTGCCGGTACGTGCGCTGGGAGTGCACCGTTTAAGTTTGAAAGTTGAAAAGTTTGTGTGTCTGAAACGCTATGTGATACAGTACAGTTTACACAGAGTACATGTTCTGTAGCTACTATTGCACTAAATGCTAACACTTGAATACGTTATGCAAATATGCAACTTGTTTGTTGAAATGTTAATAAATGGGAGCTTCCTCAAACAGCCATCTCTTTCCCGACAATCCCCTCTGTGCACGAACCCTTACATATGGTAATTAAACATTAAAACACCTGCGGCTTATAGTCCAGTGCGGCTTATATATGTACACATCATTCAATTTAGTTGCTGCGGCTTATATTCAGGTGCGCCTTATAGTCCGAAAATTACGGTACTACTTTAGGGTTGTATGCCTCTGCTTACCAAGTTTTAGTTTACATGTCTGTTCAAAATGCAAAAGTACAATAATGTGGGTTCACCTTAAGGATGTCAGGCCTGGGTTTCTCCATCACATGGGTCAGGCTGAACAGATGAAACAGAGCTTCCCTCACAAACCCTTCTCTCTCACTGTAGCGCCGCAGGGCCTCACAGATCTGGGTCTCGTAGGCTTCTCCTGTTACCTGTTGCATACAAAGTTTACTTAAGCAAACCTGATTTGTTTTTGCACCATGGTTTCAATGATATTTAACACATCTGTACTCTACCTTTAGATTTCCATCACCAGAGAGGAACTCAGAGAATCCAGCATCTGTGGCCAGAAGTCCCACAAAGGTCATCCCTGGTCTCTCCTCAACAAATGCCTTGACAGCTGCATCCGTCACCTGCAAAGTTGATATAAGAAATGACCACAGCCTGTATGTTTTCTTTACAATCTAAATTAGATAAATATAAAAACACACACACACCTGTTTCCTCCCTGACACATCCAGGGAAACTAGAGCGGGGAGGATTCCTGGCTGTCCAAGCAGTTGTCGAGCCACATCAGAAGTGAACTGCTTATCATCACTGATGTCCAGGTGCTACACAAACACACAAAATAATATTACCATTGCGATTCATCCTGATTATCATCAAATTATGATTACAAATCTTATAATGGGACTAAAACTAGGATAACATCGAATGGAATTTTGTTAAGAAACACAGGTTTTATTGCATTAAAGATGGGGAATGTTTTTTCAGTAAACATATTTAGTTAAAAAAAAACAATCAAAAAACACCAATCAAAGCATACGGTCCACCCCCAGCACAAATTAAAGTTAAATTATATTCAAAAAATACCAAAATTGTTAGAGTCTGTTCTTTTGTACATACACATTTCTGTATTTTGTAAAATCTGATTGATGGTGTTTTCATAGGATTCGTGATAAAGTCCTATATTGTCAAATCCCTATATGTTGTGGTTGAAATCACAAAAAAAAGTGTTCTTCTTTGCACAAAACAAAAAACAAATCGAAGTCCAAAATACAGCTCCCTCCCTCCACTCACCTGCAATACATTCAGCTGTCCGATGACTCCCAGCAGCTGAGCCGTGCTCATCTCCAGCCTCTTCAGCTGATGCAGCGTCAGAGAGCGCAGCCTCTCCTTCAGGCCCAGCAGGGGGGTCAGGTTGGTCACTGACGTGTTGGACAGATCCAGGCTCTCCAGCCGAGGCAGGGAACACACGTCCACCAGCCCAGAGTCATAGAAGTCCACGTTGGCAAGAGAAAGGGAGCGGAGACCCGGGAGGGAGCTGAAGCGGTACCGACTGGGTTCCTCCAGAGAGGACATGGTGAGACCTGTGAGGACAAGTCGCTGGAGGGACTCCTGCGGGATGATTGAGAGAGGAAGTCAAAACATAGGATTACATTATTTCAATATCAAGGGAGCAGAGGGTGGTTTGATAACATGTCATCTTTTTGTACACAAGTTGATATTTTATCCCTCTACCTGACAGAATTTATTGGTGGCCAGTCCTTGTAGAATATCACGAATTGTGAGGTCTGCATTGACCCTGGCAGCATCCAGCTCCAGCAGTCTGTGAGGGCAGAGGGCTTTTAGAAAAGCCTCGGCAGAGATACGCGCTGTGCGGATGCAGGCCCGTCTCAGCCGCAGGTATTCACAGTTACGAAATACCCCCGCTGTGCTGTCATTCAACAGACCTGCAGTGGAAAGAACTCAGGTTGAGTTTAATCTTTGGAATGAGGACCAAGCCTTGCACAATACTGTCTTTGTTTACAAACCGCAGTGATTAGGTCAAGGTGACAACATACCAAAAGCTTTAGTAAGTCACCCAGGAGAAGCATAAAAGTTATCCTTTTTTTCAATCAAGTATTTTTTTTCAGTTCTTGTTGTTGTCATTGAAGGGTTCAACAGATGATTTAAGAGTGTGAAAATTAAGATATAAATATTTACTGTAGTGGTTTTGTTGGTTTAGAAATTACCAACACTGTTTGTGTGTTTCGAGACTATGCTCAGTCTTTCCTCTTAATATGACACAGTAAGAATACATTTCAAATGGCTTTATGTTATAAGCAATGCTGTTTTTCATTAGGTCAAATATCGAATGTATGTTTTATTAAGTGCAACACAAAGTTAGCCCTGATACGTTACTTTCAATTGTTATATCAGGTCTCCCTTGTAAAAGAGATTGTTGATCTCAATGGGATTTTTACCTGGATAAATAAAGGCTACAAACAAACAATATCAAGAGACACATAAGCCTTGGGAACATATTGATGATCCCCCTCTAAAAAAAGGTCCAAGTTTACCTTCAGTGGCCATCTTGGCCAGCAGCTGGTCTGCCAGCTCCTGTGGGAAGAAGACAGCCTCTCTGAAGCGCAGGGAGCCATCAGGGCGCTTCACACAGAAACACTCCAGGTTTTGGCTCACATGAGTCAGGCACAGATCTGTCAGAGCCGGGGGAGAAGCCTCATCCTGAAACATGAAGAGGATGCTTGTTGATGCAGACGCATTCAAATCAAATCAAACTTTATTTATAAAGAACTTTTCAAACACAAAAGGTAACTCAAAGTGCTTCACCAACCAAACACAGACAATAAAAAAAATAAAAAAATAAAAACAATACTATCTCCTCCTTCCCTGGTATAACCAGAGTAACACATAGTTTTGTGAGTAAAAATAACACTTAATACCAACGCAGAATACAATTAGAATAAATAAAAAATATAATGTAATTCAGTAAAAAGCCTAATTAAAAAAGTGCAATTCAATGTCATTTGCAAAAGTAGCGACTGTACAATAATACCGAAGGCTCAACAGGACCTACCGTGTTTAGGAAACTATAGGCCATTGCTTTAAAAACTCTATATATTAGCTTATGAGACCGACTGGTTTCTTTCCACGACGGGAAAAATAAAGCTGTGCAATCAAACAGCTGCGCCTTTATCCGTGTTGGCCTGCAGTGATAAACTGCATGAGAGCCTGACGTTATCTTAACACTGTTGACAAAATACAACAGTAACTATGGAAAGAGCCCGGACGATCGTTAGTCGAGAGCCAGCTAGCTAGCTAACTTGTTGTCGCCTCCTTTTTGGTAAATCGCTCTCCGTACAAAAATGTCGAAAGCTGTCTGCAGTGACGGAATTCATGTTAAAATTAAAATTGACTTTCCACTGTTGCGGCTGAAGCTCTAAATTAAAGACTCAAAATGGCAATATGTCTTTGACAGCCGGTAGTTAGGTCTATTTTGGACAAGAAGACCAGTAAACAAAAGGTCACTGCTCTGGAAGTACATTTGCGAAAGGGCTGGACTACGGAAGCCCGTTGGGTTTCAGCGTTATTATGGAACCAGGAAGAAAGATCATCAGGAGATCGAGACACGCATGCTCATGTTTTTCTTCTGTTTTCAATAGAAACCCGTTTTAAAAACCATTGCAGCACAATTATATAACGATCGTGTGGTTAACGGTGTTCAACTCTATTGACGTTTTTGTTGTTTAAAGTAAAAGCTTTTGTAACAGCTCAGTTACTCACTGACCAAGGTCACTAGTACCAGTGGAGTGGATGTAGTGGGAGATAAGCCTTAATCAGCCCATACGATTATAGTAAGGTTAAAAGAATCACACGTGCTGTAAATATGGCTGGACTTATAAACTTTGAAGATGAGAATGAAGTGAAGGAGTTTTTAGACCATTTGGGAATGGAGTACAGCTTCCAATGCTATAAAGAAAAGGATCCCGAAGGTAAAATTGTCTATTCAGATTAATGGTGCTGTTTGTTCCTGTAGACATCTGTATTTTGTAAGTTGTCTTTGTGTTTGTATCAGTGGTATATATTGGTGTATGATTCATTTGCGGTTGTTTTGGAATTACATTTGGAACAAAACCTCCCTTGGAGAGGTTTTATAGCAATATCCATTTTTTCACTGGACACCAGCGATTGAAATGTAATATGTTTAAGGGATGTTGGACTAATTTGTCCTTTTATCATGTTCTTTGAAGGATGCCAAAGGCTTGCAGACTACATGGAAGGTGTGAAGAAAAACTATGAATCTGCAGCACAGGTGTTCAAACTAAACTGTGAAACAAATGGACACGCGGAAAGCTGCTATAATCTAGGAGCTTACCATGTAACGGGCAAAGGTAAAGTAGAAATGTGGCTTATTTTTACCTTATTTTACCCTATCCGATGTGGTGTGTTACACAAGTTTTATAGGACTATTACTATGGCATTAAGAATTTAAGAAAATGAACTTTAAAACTTAAATTTAAAGTGGACCTATCATGCTATATTTGAAACATATATTGTAGGGCCATAACTTTATAAAACATGTCTGTGAAGTTTTTTTTTCAAAATACCAAACAGATCATGCATTTTAGCCATGCCTCATTTTGCTCTATTTGCTCTTTTCCAGCCCTGTTTTTGCAAGGGCTGATTCTGCTTTTGTGGCAGACTACAGTGCCATTTACAGGCCTGGCATATGTACTACAGCGTCTCCAGCGCTTTCGAGGAGTCTCTCAGTCCCCTGATAGGTGGAGAATTGCCCATATAGGCGGAGCACCCCTTTTCTGACGTCAGAACAATTCAAATAATAATCAGCTCCATTGCAGCCCCGTTTTTAGAGATTTGGGTATGGAGGAAAAGAGAGAGGGTTGTGTTTTCTGACACTTGGTGAGTTCCCTGACACACCGGGGACACATATTCATGTATAAAAGACGTACAAAAGTGCATTTTGCATGATAGGTCCCCTTTAAGTTGTCTTTTTGCATGATAGGTCCCCTTTAAGTTGCCTTTTTGCATTGCTAGACAACATTTTACAAAAAAAAATGTTAATAAAATATAATGCTTTCTTGGCAATTCAACAGCTAAGGTAGGCTAATAGCATTTGAATAATAGGAGAGTGTTCATGTTAATGAATCAATATTAAATCCTTCCAACGTTTAAACTTGATTACTTCTAATGTAGTCATTTAATAATGTGTCTGCTTTTATTGAGGGATTTATATTCTACCCTACAGGTGGAGTGACCAAGTGTCTGAAATCAGCCTATTCCTGCTTTTTGCGTGTTCCGGCAATTCGCCGATGAAAGAAGTGCCATAGATGCCCTCGGCGAGCAACGTTGGCTGCTAGCCGATGATGAACGGTGTTGGTGTAAGAGAAGAGCCGAAGCTGACAGTAGCGGTGCGGCAGTACGTACCGGAGAAGCGCTGCAACGGGTGGCTATGTCGCCTTCCTGCTTTCAACCTGCAGGTTGGTAGGTGCAGTTCAGGGCAGATACCAAAGATTGCCAGACAGATGATGAAGCAAGCTTTTGATTCATGCCTAACAGAGCTTGGGAGCTGGGACATGTGTGGCGTTGCGCGC